AGCTGTGTAACAGAAACTGAGAAGACACTGCGGTCTATCAAAAACCTAAGAAGAGGAAATGAGAAATTTGTGAATGAAATCGAGCGGATGTGGACGTCTGAGCACTCAGAGAACTTTTGCTAATCCGCTGCAGCCATTATTGAGTGCTCTTACTCTGTCTCTCCATAGAGCTAGAGAGCACTTAATGTGAGGTCAATTTAATAATGTCTTTTGCTCCTGTTTTATGTAATCTACTTAAAGACTTCCTTAAAAATAAATCTCCCGTTAATAAGTCTTGCAGGATGTTCAAAGAAACAGTAAAAACATGTTGAAAATGTTACACTGCACATCATGCAAGCAAATTATAAAGTAATACTGATGCATAAAGAGTTGAATCTTTCAACTTGTGCCAGCTGCAGTCATGGTACGGCAGCAAAGTTCCTTAATTAAAACGCTAGAATGAAGATATAGTTCCTAGCCATATCAGCCTACAAAACGAGAGGGGTCTGGCTGCTGACTCGGTGCAGTGCAATCAGAGCTGCATCTAATGCTTTTTAATGCACTCACCTAACCCCACCCCTATCCCTACCCCTCACAGTGACGTCACTAGCTCCATTGAGTGCATTCTGTCTGAGATTGCATTTCTGAGCAATGCAATCTCAGCTTGCATCATAAAAGCTGCATCCAGATACTATTGTACAAAGCAGCAACTTTTCATTTTCCGTCAGTCTTAGTACACAATTTTACTACAAAAAGCTCAAGATTTAAAAAGATAGGTTACCTAAACTCTTTTCAAATTTTTTTTTATGACAGATGCTAATGATCTAATCTGATTTAATGGTTTATGCTAAGCTAAGCTAAGCTAAAAGTGCTCCATCAGACCTGGAAATCAGCTGAATAAATTCTAAATTGTTTAACTCTAGAGGATTTCCAAAAAAAGCGGAGTGTTCCTTTAAACCCAAACAGGTTGTTAAAAACACAGCCTCAAATGTATAACACAAACACTTCAAAAACCTGAGAAACGTATCATTTAAAGTAAAGTAACACAACAACTGGTAAATGTGCATTTATACACCCCGCACAGCACTTTTGGTCATTCTCAGCTCAATATGAGAGAAGCTCTAATCTAAAACAGCTCTTTTCAGTGTCTGAATAATCTGTTAGTGCTGCTGCCGAGCTTTTGTTTGTACCCAGAAATTTAAACCATACTGTAATTTCCAGATCTAAATGACATAGATGGTCAATTTAATATATATATAATATAATAATAATTTAATATATATATAATATATTAATATATTAATATATTATATATATATATATATATATATATTAAATATATACAAACACACACACACACACACACACACACACACACATACATACATATTATTTCAAAATGTGAGATATTGCTAAAATAATAAATAATATTTACCTTAAAAAAAGTTTTTCAAGGAAAACCTTTTGGAAAATAACAATCACCATGAGGCCATTCAAGATGAAGAGCCAAAATCGTGTTTTGTGTGTGTGTTTGATTCATAAAATGCTATTTATTGCTGCATGTGATGTACCTTTTATCATCTGACTGTTTTTTGTGCTTATCCTGGATACTGCAGCCTATACAGTATATAATAATTTGAGTCTGCTTGCAGCATCAGAAAGATTGACTTCAGTGTTATTTGATAAACACCTTTATTTGACAGGAAGTAAGATCAGCTGACACTGAGGATTAAAAGTAATACTGTAAAGCTGTAAATAGTATTAATGTTCCAACCAAAAGTATTCATTTTGTTTTGCCTGTAGCTGTATTTTTGACTCTCACTGTGCAAGCAGCCGTTAACATTTTATGAATCACCAAAGATTATGATTTCAGCCAAAAGTCTTCTTTAAATGTTTAAATGTAGCTAGAGAAAATAAAAAGTCACCAACATATTGGGTGACGTGCAGGGTGAGCAATTAAATTAATCTTTTTTTAGGTGAAACATGTATTTCAGAGGAGTAAATGATTAGAGACATCTAAGAGTTTTTAAATTTTGATTAAAATTGACAAGAAAAAAAATTGAAACATATGCATGGATTAAAAATAATATATTGTTAAAAAGTTATAGCATAACTAACATCCCAGAGATCTTTACCTTTTCTTGACCCTTACACCATGTCCTAACTACACACAACATGATGCTGTGCCATGGAATATTTTCCATGTTAAAAGAAATGTTTGTCCACCCATGTCAATAATGCTAAAGTTTCTATTTTATAAACGGTTTCTATTTCTGCAATGTCACGGCTGAACTACAGTATAAACTACAATCACCTTAGGTGCTGATTATGATTTATTCAGTGCTAAACTTTAGAGTATGAGTTTGAATTTCATTTTACTTGACGTTAATTGAAATATTGAAAGTGCCAGCAGGCCTGAAATACCTAACAAATATATAGTTTAAAAATGAACACAAGAACTGTGAATTCAGCACAAACTAACATCAGCTATACTACTAACTAATTTAATTACTTGACTCAATGCACAGTCATTCGATTGATCTGAACAGAAATTGAACAACTGAAAAAGTATTTTAATTGCTTGACTCGAATGCTCAATGCACAGACAACAAAAAATTAACATATTTAATTGTTTACATTTGAGTTAAACAGGACCTTTTAGCTTTAGCTTATTTAAACAGGAAACATGCTAAATTAATGACACAATATTTCATACATCCTGTATAGGGCTGAAAAAAATCAATAACGCAATGCGTGTATTTGCAATAGTCACATTACAGGATTAGATTACTTATTGAAGATTAAAAAATAAAGATATTATTATATAATATTGTTGTTTTTTATTATTTAGACAATGATGACCACGTTATTTTACATTTGATTGTTAAATTTCTGTACTTACATACTGTTAGACTCCCCAGAAAACCATAAAGCACTGTTTATTATTTAATTTTTCTTGTGAATTTATTATAATGTATGCACTGCTTAGAAAAGATTTGATCTCAATCGATCTAAATTAATTAAATCTTTTCAAATATAGCTATTCAAATCAACTGGTGAATTGTATTCATATTGCAATATATATTGCAGCAAAACAAAATATAGTAATGTCAGATTTTTCCAATATCGTTTAGCCCTAATCCCATACATTCCCTTTAATTTATAATTAAATTATAATTTTAAATTATAATTAAATTATAGGTACAAAAATTCTGGAAATATATATTATTTCTTTTTTTTATTTATTTGATTATTTAGATTTTTGTATTATTATAAATTATAGCAAAAAAACTTTAGTTTAATTACTTCTATAGGTATAGCACCATCACCTATCATTGGGTTTGGTGTGATGCCTGATAATTATACCTTACCCCACTTACTTTATAAACTTTGTGGCCTCTCTTTACTTTACTTGCTGGGCAAGTAATTTTATTAAACTGAAAGACCCCCAGCCACCCTCACATGTACGGTGGTTGAAAGATGTTCTGTATTTTGTGAAACTAGTGAAGATTAGATCCTCCCTTCAAAGACAGAACATTTGTTCAACTTTGGAAGCCCTTTTTTCTTACGTTAAAACTTTCCAGCTGGATCTAGACTGAGATCTTTCATTACTTGAATTGTAACATTGAGATTGATGCATAAATGTAGACATCTGCCCCCATTTAGTTGTGAAATTAGGTTTTATTTTATTATTATTTTCATTTATTATTTATTTATTTATTTCTATAAGGGTTGTTTGAAATGTGAAAACTTTAAAATAGTCACAAAAAACTTTAGTTCACAATTTGAGCTTGAATTAAAGCATTAGAAGGCTGTTTGTCAAAATGAAAATACCACATATTTTGATACTTTTGCAGGAAAAAAAATGTTTAATTTCAAAAAAGAATATATTGCTAAAATATGTTGGATTTTTTTTAGGAAAATAATAATAATCATGAGGCCATCCAATATTAAGAGACCTTTTTACTTGAGTATAACATAAAAATAATAATTTTACCCCAAAATGTGGTAATTAAGATATAATTAGTGAAATCATAAAAACAACACTAAAAACACTTCAAACTAATGGCACCATATTTCACACATGCCATTGCCATTACTTTCTGACTCAATTCATTGTTTCGTATGCATTGTTGTGCAAATGCATTTAAAAATTAATTATTAGGCAAATATCAAAACAACAACAAAAAAATCTCTTTTTTATACCATATTTTGTCACGAACAATTTTTTTCACTCAGTTCATTGCTTCCTAAGCATGTTCATAGATACTGTTTAGTTTAAAAATTTAATATGAATACAAAATATATTTGTATAAGAAAGAATAGAGTTATACAGAATTGTCAATTTGACATTATTTATGTCAAGTAACTTTAATTAAAATAAGTAAAACTGAAAAGTAATACCTTACTTTACTTTTCAGCGGATCAGTGATTTAATTACAGTAACTAGTTACTAAGTAACTAAGTAGAGCCAGCGCTGCACGCAAGAGTCAGGAGGGAGCTGTCAGTGCAACGTAAACAAGAAGGCGTGACACCTACAAACATCACAGTTAAAGCCAATGCGGGAAATTGGATTGGCACTTCGTGGAAGTTCGCGCGACACCCACGACCTCAGTCACTACCTGCTGGCTAGTTATCAATGTCTAGATCAGTCAGTTGCAAATCTCTCACCTCAAATAACACGAATAATCTGACTAAAAACAATAACAGCACGTCTTGCTGCGTCACTTAAAACAGATATTTACTATTGCCCATGCTTTTTTCACCCTGACACTAAAATTAAATCATGCATGAAAGGAGGCGCTATAATAAGTGGAATTTGTGTGGGAAAACACAGAGCTCATTTCGAGCGCTTTACAGCCGCAGCATCAACTGTTCATATGCGCTGAATGCTGAAGTGAACCGAAGCTGCGTCACATCAGACAAGCGCTCCGACAAAATGAGCCAAAAACATTCGCATCATAGTCATATAGCGGCCGCTTTTTGTTTGTTTGTTTGTTTGTTTGTTTGTTTGTTTTTACCTGGCACTGGTAGGGAGACCAAAGTGCTTCCCCTGCCTCCCTGGGTAAGTGCTCGTCCTCTTTACAGGCTAGGAGGGAGCGAGGATGGACGGGATAATCGGAGAAGCACGCCTACAGAGAGAGCAGACTCGAGTGGTCACTACTGGAGAGTGTTGTCACGAAATGAGGGTTTGTCTGAAGGAAAGGCTGCGGTAGTTCCTTACCCCGGGAACCGCCGCTCAGACACAGCACACAGCGGCGTCTTCGGCAGGTTACCCTCTCTGTCAGCCCGCGTCTCCTGCTCTAGTCCGCGCCTGGCTCAGCTGCTCTGTCTCCCGCCTGCCCACACCACACCGCTCCAGAGGCGCTCTGCTCCGCTACTGCGTGCACTGAGGAAATCTCGCGAGAGCCGCGCTGTTTACAGGAGATGCGCCGCTTCTGGAGCTCCGCATGGAGGGGAATTCTGCTGGAATTAAGAGGATTCCCGCGGTCGGGGAAACCTAGGGGCAGAGTGATCTATCAGGAAGAGAAATAATAGAAATTAATGCAATAATAAAGTAATAGTAAATTTTATAGTATGGTCAAATGTTAAATACAACGGCTATATATATATATATATATAGGCCAACTGTAAACAGTTGAAGTCAGAATTATTAGCCCCCCTGCCTTATTATTATTATTATTTTTATTTATTTATTTTTTGTGTGTGTTTTTTTAGCTTAGAACTGGAAAAACAAAAAGAACATGGTGAGCTATATATCTGGTCAAAAGTATAATATTTAATTAAATAACCTTCACCTTTTATTACATCCCTTTTCCACACTTCTCATTTGGCGAAACTGCGCCAAACATTTAAGTGGCCAAAGTCGGAACTGCAGTACATAACACGAGCAGACTGACAGAACTCGGCTTTTCTGTCCCATTTCATTTTCTGTTCAATAAATTCATAAGGGCCCAGATTAATTCTCACATGAGAACTCTGCAATTTTTAAAGTAGAGCATGTTAGCCCCAGCTGCTATGGACCTCAGTGTTTGGCCAGGTATCACCTGGGCATCATTGAAATGAACTATTTCTTGATCCCTCTGGACAAAGTGCAGAGCATTTCTGTATAAAGCTGTTTTGTGAGTTGTCGGTCCTACGCTACGGCCTCAGTTCGGCCCCCTGCCCACACTGACTGTTCCAGATGGCAGAGAGAGGTACAGCAGAGGTGAGGCCACGGTCCTGTGCTGTGACACAGGTGGGGAACGTCCTGTTTAAACCCACAGGAAAGGAGGCCTGGCAGACATTCCCTCTGTCCCTTCATCAGCTGTCCATGCCCACAGAGAGGCCACAGATTACACACCGCAGTTGGGATTACATACACATGCGTTTGCTCAAAAAAAAAAGCAGATTATACCAAGAAACTAGGTGAAAACCTTGTAAGGTGACAGATATGAACTCCTGTTTAGATAAACATTTTGTGCCAGCATGCCTGAAACGTTTTATTTAAGATATATTTTTTGAAAAAAAAATTTCGTTCTCAAATGAGACAGACGGATGGATAAAAGGAAGGATAGATAGATAGATAGATAGATAGATAGATAGATAGATAGATAGATAGATGTTTAAAACAGTTTGAAAAAAGGATAGATAGATAGATAGATAGATAGATAGATAGATAGATAGATAGATAGATAGATAGATAGATAGATAGATAGATAGATAGATAGATAGATAGATAGATAGATAGATAGATGGACGGACGGACGGACGGACGGACGGACGGACGGACGGACGGACGGACGGACGGACGGACAGACAGACAGACAGACAGACAGACAGATAGATAGATAGATAGATAGATAGATAGATAGATGGATAGATAGATAGGTTTAAAGCAGTCTGAAAAAGGTTAGATAGACAGACAGACAGACAGACAGACAGACAGACAGACAGACAGACAGACAGACAGACAGACAGACAGATAGATAGATAGATAGATAGATAGATAGATAGATAGATAGATAGATAGATAGATAGATAGATAGATAGATAGATAGATAGACAGATAGATAGATAGATAGATAGATAGATAGATAGATAGATAGATAGATGGACAGATATATAGGTTTAAAGCAGTCTGAAAAAGGTTAGACAGACAGACAGACAGACAGACAGACAGACAGACAGACAGACAGACAGACAGACAGACAGACAGACAGACAGACAGACAGATAGATAGATAGATAGATAGATAGATAGATAGATAGATAGATAGATAGATAGATAGATAGATAGATAGATAGATAGATAGATAGATACTTAAAGTTGTCACCAAAATCTCAAGAATTGTGTTGTTTTAACTCATTTTACATAAGTAGTTTGAACAAGTAGCAAAATAAATTTTTGGAGTGTAGAAAGAAAGAAAGAAAGAAAGAAAGAAAGAAAGAAAGAAAGAAAGAAAGAAAAAAAGAAAGAAAGAAAGAAAGAAAGAAAGAAAGAAAGAAAGAAAGAAGCGTTTGTAGGTCAACACTTTAATTTAGGCCTATCATGCTTTTCTTGTCATCCATCAATCTGGGACCGCATTAGCCAGTTGACTGCAGTTAGGTGAAGCAGAATGGACATTTCTGGCCGTATGTTTGCCCATCTGAAAGAGATAAAGCTGTCCTGCACACCTTTGACTGTGGCTGCAGCTGCTCTGCCTGATCTCATGTGTCTTCTCTGCCTACAGCTGCCTCTCTCTCCATCCAGGGCCGCTTATAGGGGCTCCAGCGACCACTGACGTGGACACACATGAAAGCCGCTATGGATAAATCTCCTGAGCTTCTTTGACATCCTAAAACTTTCTCAGGGTTCAGCTGGCAAACTGCCCTCTCGTCCACAGGGAAGGTCAGTGTGTGATGGGGACGAGGATTTAGGAAGGGGAGGGGGTGTTTGGTAAGGTAAAAGTGCTGTCAGAGGTCTTACACCTCAGGTTCGGGGGAGGGGATGTGCGTCTGTGCTGTCCGTCTGGACTGGGGGAATGTCAATATCTGTGTATGTGAGAAAAAAGGATTTCCTATGAGCTCCTCATATTACCTTCTCCTGGTCAGGTGGAGCCATATGGGACGTGTGTGTTTACATGTGTGTGAGCTTGACAGATGAATGTACGGTGAAACAACTTCAGTTGAATTCAAATGTTCTATATATTTTAATAAGTTCTCATATGTTTTCTTGTAACACACAGAACAATAATCAGTAGGGATGTAACAATATTGTAAATACCGTCACACCGCAATAGTAATTTTTTTCAATATTACCGTAGGCGCATGACTCAAAAAAACTATATTTCTGAGAAAAGTTTGCTTAGGCGAATGAAGCGAACGGGAGGTAGCGGGAACTACAATTCCCATCAGCCTAGGCGTGGCCATCATCCTTTGCAGTCTGTTGTCACTACATATCCAGTAATGCGGAAATGGAGTGTGTTGCTAGTAGAAAAAAAGAAAAAAACAATATGCAGGCACTGCCAGACTGTGGTGAAATATAAGTCGGGGAATACGACTAAAAACAGTCATGGGGACTGCAGAACACAGCACACTTGTTAGATTGATGCAGACATTGACTTGTACCGCAAAGAGACCTCTATCTCACTCATGGCTTGTCCTCTCAAGTGGTGGAAAGACAATGCACAACGTTACCCACTGCTGTCAACCTTGCATAAATCATATCTCTCTGTCCCAGAAACCTCAGTCCCAAATGAGAGGTCTTTTTTCTGTTGCAGGGGACATGCCCAGAGATCCCAGCTTTTACCAGATTATAGTTATATGATCATTTTCCTTAAAAACCCATCTCTATCTAAGTGAGTGTGTGATTAAATGTTGAATGTGATGAGTTTTCAACAATACTAAATTTAAACTTTATTTCTTTTATATGGTTTAATAGTATTTTGTTATTAAAATTAAAAATTGAAGTCCTGTTTTGAAACTTACAGATAGATGGCTAATTTGTATGTCATTGATATGTTCAGTGCTAAGGTAAATAAACACTTTAGCCACTTTTTTCGAGTCTTTTCATTAGTTTTGTTTTTCCTGTAAATTATTCAATAAATACCGTACCGTGTCATTCATACCGAGGTATTACCGTACCGTGAAATTCTGATACTGTTACATCCCTAATTAGTGATCATAGATTAATAATACACAGACAGTGTATACGTTATCTAACTGCCAAAATATCGGTTGTAAAAATGCAGAAATTTCATTTATTCTTTCATTTCCTTTCGGCTCAGTCCCTTATTTATCAGGGGTTGCCACAGAAGAATGAACTGCAACTATTCCAGCATATGTTTTATGTAGCGGATGCCCTTCCAGCTGCAACCCAGCACTGGGAAACCCCCATACACTTGCATTCACACTCACACATACACTACAGACTAGTACACTCACTCACTCACTCACTCATACACTCACCAGGCTAGTACCATCCCTACAGTGAAGCATGATGGTGGCAGCATCATGGTGTGGGGAAGTTTTTCCGCAGCAGGAACTGGAAGACTTGTCAGGATAGAGGGAAAGATGAATGCAGCAACATACAGTGACATTCTAAATGAAAACCTGTTTCAGAGTGCTCTAGTGCGTCAGAATATCAATGGAGTGGCTTCACAACAAGTGGCCCAGCCAGAGCCTAGACCTAAATCTTATTGAACATCTATGAAGTGATCTCAAAATGGCTGTACTGCAAAGAGGAATGGGCAAAAATTCCCAAAGACAGGTGAGCCAAGCTTGTGGCATTATATTCAAAAAGGCTTGAGGATGTAATTGCTGCCAAAGGTGCATCAGCAAAGTATTGAGCAAAGGCTGTGAATACTTATGTACATGTGATTTTTCAGGTTTTTTATTTTTAATAGAATTGCAACTATTAAAAAAATATATTTTTTTCATATTGTCATCATGGCGCACTGTGTGTAGAATTTTGAGAAAACAAATCAATTTGATTAATTTTGGAATAAGGCTGTAACGTAAAAAAAAAATGTGGAAAAAGTACAGTGCTATGACAATTTTTTGGATGCACTGTGTATGATCTTATACCTTTGTATTAAAAAATTATATATTTGCAATATTTTTTTATTCGAAATATTTAGGAAATACTTTTGCAACATCAAAAGTGTGGTTATAATGTCCATCCGACAAGGAAATGCTGATAAAATTAGTGCTTAAAATGTCACCTAAATTCAGTATTTTAATCTTATAATTAAATAGAAAATAAGGCAAATGGGTCCAAAAAGAACCACCCCTTTTACCAGGTTGGCTATGGGCCTGTGTATGTTCCTCTTAAATATAACATGCATTCATT